AAATTCAAATTATATCAAATGGATGTAAAGAGTGCGTTCTTAAATGGATACATCAAAGAGGAGGTGTATATGTGTCAACCTCCTGGCTTTTAAGATTATCAACATCCAGATCATGTTTATAAATTGAAGAAAGCTCTGTACAGACTCAAACAAGCACCTAGGTCATGGTATGAATGTCTAAGCAATTTTTTGGTGAGTCACAACTAAAGGAGAGGTAAAATAGATCAAACTTTATTCATAAAAGAGCATAAGAAAAATAATATTATAGTTCAAATTTATGTTGATGATATAATCTTTGGCTTAACTAACAATGATCTTTGTCAAGAGTTTGCCAAGATAATACAGGATGAGTTTGAGATGTCGATGATGGGTGAACTAACATTCTTTCTAGGACTTCAAATCAAACAGAAGACTGACAACATATTCATTTAGAACATTCAAAGGAAGCATCTACTCCAATGGCAACATCTTGTTATCTAGATCAAGATGAAAAAGGTAAGGCGGTTGACCAATCGAAATATAGAGGTATGATTGGTTCCCTACTTTATCTTACAACAAGTAGACCTGATATTATGCATAGTGTGTGTTTGTGCTAGATTTTAGGCTAATCCTAAGGAATCACATTTAGTTACTGTTAAGAGAATTTTTAAATACTTAAAAGGAACTAAATCTTTGGCCTTTGGTATCCCTCAGTAGCTTCACCTAGAATTATAAGATATTCAGATTCAGATTATGGAGGATGTAAACTGGACAGGAAAAGTACAAGTGGGACATGTCATCTACTTGGTTGTTCACTTGTTTCTTGGCATTCTAAGAAATAGGCTTGTGTTGCTCTATCCACAACTGAAGTTGTAGGTAGTTGTTGTGCCCAAGTTTTGTGGATGAAGCAGCAGTTAGAAGATTACAACATTTTTCTAGATCATATTCCTTTAAAATGTGATAGTGCTAGTGCAATAAATCTTACTAGGAACCTTATCATGTATTCTAGGACTAAGCATATAAAGATCAAACATCATTTTATTAGAGATCATATTCAAAAAGGAGATTGCATAATAGAATACATAGATACCATCCATCAGTTAGCTTATATCTTTACCAAACCATTACCTAGAGATAGGTTTTATGAGCTAAGACGGGCCTTAGATATCCTAGATAGTATCTCCTTAATATGATGTTCTTCTCTATGACACTTTGTGATGCATTATCTTCTATGCCTTGGTTTATGTGCTAATTTGTGCAAATTTATGATCAATTTCTATTGCAATATTTTTCAAAATTATCAATAAAACAGGGAGAGATTTGATGATATTAATCTGTGTGAAACAGGAGGAGATTGTTTTTATCTTGAAATAATTGTTTATGATTATCAATGAACAGGGGGAGATTTTTTGATGAATTAAAATCTGTATGAAATTCATTCCTAATTCTGAATTAAACAGTGGGAGTTAGGAAAAGTTTTGCTCAGATGAGTTAGGGGAAACTTTGTTATTAACATATCTAGGGGGAGTTTAAATATATTGTGCAAATTTGCGCTAATCTTAAACTGGCTATATAGAGTCAAACAATTTAATTCATTTTAGGTGTTTCCTTTATCATCATCAAAAAGGGGGAGATTGAAAGCAATGAGGGGAAGATTGATGGCAATATGAAACATGTACTTACATTCCCAAAAGATGATTTTGATGATGATTCAAGTCAACAACATTCAAGACTTAAGCAAGCCCAACATGATTCCTAAAGACTAGATAGAGTCTTAGAATACTGGATATAGATGTACAAATTGATGAAGTAATATTATGCATAAACCTCCAAAGCACAAGTGTGATAAAATTTCGTAACATGACATTTTTCACTGTCATAATTTATTATGATGCATTAGAATTGAGAAATTGACTTTTACCCCAACATAATCAATTATACTGAGGAGATAATCGATTATGGCAGTTCGAAATTCAAAAATATATCTGTTTTTAAGAATAAATATTTTTGAATATATCCTGATTTTTATCCACAAAAATATTAATGTCCAACGCCCATTTTCTGATGCTATTTTCCTATTTAAATGAGTTTTGATGAAAAATAAAAAAACACAATTACAGAATTCGAAAATACAATTTACATTCAATCAGTTTTGAGAAAAGAATTATGAGCAAGGCAAAATAGATATTTTACAAGTTTTGAGAAAACCCTCTTCTCCATTGCCTCAGAGATATTTCACCAAAACTCTCTTCTCCATTGCCTACTGTGCTTTTATTGTTAATCACACTTGTTCTTTGAGGTGACATTCTACAGGCTTCTATAATTTGTTGTCTCCATTACCCAGGTGTGATTGTTCTTATTTTATTACCTTCATCCTTTGTGGGCTTAAGTGGTTGATTGTTAAATTCCCTATTTAGGGTTTAAGTAGTCACTGTCATTCTATTGTGTTTTTTTTTTGGGTTTCCTGTGTGGAAACTATTCATCCCTTTGATTTGTTCAGGGAGGTATTTTCATCCTTTGATTTGTTCGAGAGGAGGTGTTCATCCCTAGTGGGATTCTAAGGAGGTGTTTTCATCCTTTGATTTGTTCAGAGGTGTTCATCCCTAGTGAGATTCTAAGGAGGTGTTCATCCTTAATGGGTTTCTAAGGAGGTGATTGTCTTTTAAATTAGTTTGTTTTTTACTGAGTTGATTGTAATTTGTAAACTGAATTAAAAGATAGTGAATTAGGGTCACTCTTGTGTTAAGAGTTGACTGGAAACTGGATGTAGGGTTGGCTATACCCGAACTAGTATAAATCACTGTGTGTTCTTTTCTTTCCCTTATCTCTTTTTCATCGCATTACTCTTCTTACACCCCTTATTTTTATCTCTATCTTGTTGATATTTTATCTTTCCGATTATATAACTTCCGCTTTATTTTTATTCAATTTGATAATTAAAATTGAATTAATAAATATTAGATATTAAAATAAATTTTTAATTTGGCATCTATTTTAATTTGTGCATCTATTCACTCCCTTCTAAATGTCATTTGTCTAACATCTTCCATTTTTTTCTTAGCTCGACATTCTTTCGTAAAAGATCTTACCTTACCATAATTATAACATTTATCCGTGTAATAATCCTTTGGATAGAGACCATATTTGCCACACTTAAAACACTCAACATTTGAATGACTCGTCGAACAACCTCCTCTCTAACCACATCCTCTATCACACCAATTTTGTTGGTTTTCTTCTTTTTCCTCACATCCTTGGCCACCTCAGACTCTACTCGAGTATTCTGAGAGTAGAGAGCTTTCTCACCTGTCTCACTTTAGCGTGATTGAATATTTGTCTCCTTCTTTTTCTTCTTTCAATGCTTGTAAGCTTCAAAAGAACCAATCAACTTTTGTATCATAAGCTCAAATAGGTTCTTTAATTGCTCTATCATGCACACTACATTTTCAAAGTCATTAGTTAACGACCTTAAGATCTTCTCCACAATATGATATTCAAAAAATATCTCTCCATTTTGATTAAGTCAATTCACCACAGTTTCAACATGTGTGACGTATTCAAAAACTCCTTCTAACTTTTCATTCTCATGTTGACCATCTGACTATGTAATGTTTGTAGTCAAACTCGTTTGACTCAACCATCATCATTATATGTTTTCTCTAATGTATCCCACGCTTCTTTTGAAGTTTTAACACTTGTTATCTTCTCAAAGATGGTTTCATCAACTCAATACAACATATACAAGACTGTGTTATTTTCACACTTCTCATTCAATGCTTTGTTTACAGCTACTGAAATTCTTTTGGTGCTTTCTAGTTCTTCAAAACCATCATCGACTATCTCTCAATTACTTTAAAATCTCAAAAACACCTTCATCTAAAGAGTCAAATTATCATTTTAGACTAACATCACTCTTTTCAAGCTCTCTCACACTCAAACCTTAGTTCTTAATACGAATTTGATAACAAAGAAATTGAAAAAACTAAATCTTATTATTTTTGTGTGCTGGTAAAACCTAATTAATCTTCTCATAAAATATTTTGTACATATTACATTTTTGTTTTACATAATATATTATGGACCTTTCAGGAAAATGTACCAATATAAAAAAATTCACAATCGAACAATATATATATATATATATATATATATATATATATATATATATATATATATATATAAAAGAAAGAAAGACTCAACCTAATATCTTAATATTTTGGATTAAAACTGATATTAATTTTTTAATGTAAATTGAACTCATAACTTATTGGTATTATCTCTCCACGATAAATCTTCCACGAAAGAACCATCAATGTTGAATATGATTTTACCCGTTGTAATAATGGTAATATTTTTCCATTAAAATCAAATTATTTTACAGCATAGAATACTAAACCATTTGTGCATCAATTTAAACAATCACAAAAATGGAATATTAATATGTATTTATGAAACCAAAAAAAATGCTTACGAAGCACACATTTACAATGGCAATATCTAAGGGTCCCTTGCCCTTGCAGATAAACAAAGCAAGAGTCCCCCAGAATCACAAAGGAGAAACTAAGATTAAAGAGAAGATGAATGTGAAGAATTAATAACAAGCAATTAACATTAGGATAGAGTCGGACTCAAAGATAAAATGCAATGATTTATCTAATTGATAATCTGATCATAACCATCCATCTACCAGCACATCCCCTTCAATTACAAAATATAATGTGCCTGATTTTAAGGCTTCTCTTTCACCTTCCCTCTCCCACATCTGGAAGACAAAGACAAAGAAGGAGAAAAAATTACAATTATGAAACAGCCAAAAGTCAATGAGCTAGCTCCACATATTCCAGAAAATGATCCTTTCTGTGCCATAGTCGTGGCTGTAATCTGCGAAATTTCTACGTAGCTCTGGAGCCTAGACTTTCTCTTTAAGATATTTTGGATGCACATGAAAAGCGCATAATCTTGCATGCTCTTGACAAATGTGGAAAACTGAACCCAACGAATTCTAGACAGAAGAAACAGTATCACCTGCGTATTCTTGTAACAATATACTGTCCCTTCTCAAGGTCGTACACCGTCTTCAATTGTGGCTTTCTCCATTGCATTACAAAGAATGCAGCAAGTATGATTAAGAAAAGGAATGCAAATAATGAAAAATATGTGACTGATTCATTCCCTACAATCATCCCTGTATTTATATGTTCCAGTTCAAGGGGTTCTGCCGTTGTTTCAATTATGAATGATCCAAGTGTCCAATCTACATTAGTGTTAATCTTCTGGCTCCCAAATCCAACCCTGCAGATAATTAATGTCTTAATAGTTGTAAAATTGTGATCTTATGCCTTTTAATATTATTCTATGTATTTTTTTTATTAGTATTTAAACCATTAAACTAGTGTCTTAATCAGTTAATCCGGTTTAAAAGATTGCTTTATACACATACGCTTAACTCAAGTTTAATTTAGTTTATTTATTTTTTTATATTTGTAACAATACATTAACATCCATATATTAATTTATTTATTTATTTTGGCTATTAAGTTAGTCTCATTCTCAGTTTCAGTTTCGGTTTCATATATTTTTCTTACAGTAGCAATACCTTTTCTCTTTCATAGCAATCCCAAGAACATCATGCAACAGTGCCAGCATATATGCAGAAGAGAAACAATACTGCAATAAATCAAGATAATTAATTTCGTTATGCTGATCTTTGAGAGCATCCCAATGATCTTCACAATAATGTCGCCCTGCTGCCTCCAATTGAAACAAAGAAGTCCTAGGAGCCATCCTAAGAATCTGGCAAAAATTAAACAGGGGATAAACATTGTCAGAGATGAGATCAAGGATTCAGCTTCCCCCACATTCAATAATGAAAAGAATCAGTGCCAAAAAGAACAAGGATAAGTAAGAAGCGAAGTTTGATGTACACATCACACAGTACTCAATTTTCAAATATTTGACAGAAATTCCTTAGCATGTATATAAACATCACTAACACAAATTCCTTACCTAAATTAGAACCTATGAAGCCCCTATAGTAGATACGACATGGATACAATGCAATGCAGCACATGTACAGACGTACTGTAACTTCTTAAATGTTCAAACTACAATATGGCCTAAATAAATTTATACAGATTTATAAGGGACGAGCATATATTTCACAGAGGCGTAAATATTTATGAAGACATCGAAAAGTTTATCAATAATACAAAACCGTTAATTAACCATATCCGGAATTTATCCCCAATTAAAAAAAAAAGAGGATACTGCCTGGATAGGTATACAGCCAATCATACACATGAATGTTGGATATGCGTACAACACTAATAGTTTTTCACTTCTACTGTTTTCAGCCGTTGAGGACCTTCAGGGTTGATTTTGTTAAGAATTGGAAAAGATGAAACCCATAGTCATTGATAATTATTCGTAGATAGCTCTTCACAGAGCAGGGGAATACAGCTGTCATTGTGATGATATTTCGATTGGAGGAAATACTGCTAACCACCTAAACTACCATCCTAGAGTCAGTTGCAGATCTGCGCTCTTATACAATACCTACATAGCTTCATAGACTGGAATGTTTAACATAATCGCATCAAAAAACCTCTCGAAGAAAGAAAAACAAGGGCACAGGGGGTTCTTGTGTTTTAGATGCCAAACAAGTGTTGTTTGCTATAGTTATGATATCGAGTGGCAATTCTGTCGTTCTTTTTCAGTTATCCCCTCTCCTTCCCCATGAAAAGACATTGTTTTAAGTTTATTTATCTCTATTCTAAAATATTTTTTAATTTCTAAGAAATTTAAATACATTAAATTTAAATTCCTTTTATTTTAAATTACTTAATTTTTCAAATAATTTATTTGAATAAGGCAATTTAAATTTATTAAATTCTAATTTTCTAGGATAAATTATTTCAATTATTATTAAATATAAAAATTATTACTACTAGATTTATCAATTAGTACAATTCATACTACTTTGAGCCTTATTCATATGATAAATGGTCTTAACATTGGATTAATGTTTAGGATCATCTTCGGCAAGTTAAGGAGGACATGATTTTATTTTTATTCTTTTTCCTATATATGAAGAAGACGCTCAATCTAGATTGATAAGTTAAGGATGTTGTTGAGATATGCTTTTATTTTTATTCTTTTTCTTATATATGTTCCGAGGATTAGGGTTAAGGTTTGTACTGAGGCCTAATCACTTTTTGTATTCTCTCATCTATAAATATAAATGGTACGAATGTCTTTTGACATTGTCTTTGAACCTTAAACATTTTTCTCGAGTTAGTATCAGAGCGGTGATATGCAAATAGTTTTGACCAATGAGACCAGTATTCGATGCGCATCGTCAGTCGTTGCTCCATGTGCCAATCCAAGAGTAGCCCGTTACTGGCACGTGAGCGTCACATGCGACCTTCCAGTGGTAGGAACCACCGTTCATCTCATCAGTGTCTTCTGCTTCCAATGTTGCCCTTATTTCTTTATTTTGAAATCTTTGGGAGTGTCATATTTCTCTCTTGGTTTGGGTCTTCTCCCTTGTTTTTTTTGTTTGAGATGTCTATAACTAACTCTTCTCCCTTCTCTACCACTTCCACTATTACTAGTGCCAAACTCAACTAGAAAAATTATTTATCTTGATTTGTATATAGGGAGTTGTGGTTCCTAGGTCAAGAGTAACATGACCATTTAGAAACTGAACCTTGTTCCATTTCTAATTCTAAAAGGACTCAGTGGTAGAAGATAAACTTTAAACTATGTGAAATATCATGGTAAGATGTTAAACAAAAGGTTATAGAAATTCTCAGGTCATTTAAGACATGTTCCTCTTCTGGGAGAAAGCATAAGATATGTTTGTTAACCATATCCAGCATCACTTTGATGCAACTCAAAGAGTAACTTCTATCAAATAGACCAACCACAACATGGTATCTTATGTTGCGAAGGGAAGGACTATTGTAGAAGAAGTGAATAGGTTTCTAATGGCAAGCACCATGGAAGAGTTTAATATGAAACTTGATAAGTGGCACATGGTCCTCATTTGAGGAGTTTATATTCTGATTTTGATCATGTGTGTGATCAAATCTTGGCTGGTGATCAGGTTTCTTGAATGGATAATTTAGTCACTCAACTTATTTGTATACCCAACTTGATGAAAGATGGGGTCAAGTTGAAGCTATTGAATCTTCATCAACAATTGTAATTCATGGACAAAGAGGAGATGTAATAGTTGAGGAGGACATGGTAATAGAAGCATATGTCCTCATTTTGCTCTTATTGCAAAGAATGGGGTACACAAGAAAATTGTTATTCCTTGTATGGATTCACATTCAGATTATTTAGGAAATGTAGGCCTAACATGTTTTCCTAATTGACAAGATTCACATTCTAAAACTCAAAGTTGTGTGAGATTAGAAACATCATTTTCAACTTTGATAAACTTGAGTGGTCCTAACGATCATGCAAAAGTGTTGGAACAAGTGTAGCAAGACAAGACACAAGGGGGCTTAAATTCAGATAATAATGACAACATGATTCATGTCCTTCTCCGATCGGAGACCGTACCATGTTGCTGACTAAAAGAATCGAATTAAAGGTTATAGAGCAATTCATAGAGTGAATAAATTAACTTAAAGAAATTAAATTATAAGGACAATTAGGAATATAAAAAAAAAAGAGTTTAAATTTAGTGAAGGTGATAAAGGGACTTGGCCAACTCCTCGATATGCCACTTTGGATCTATTAACCACAGTAACTAAGTGAGGTTTTTAAGATAAGACATGAAGGAAAAAGAATGTTAACAGAGATATGATCGGAGACACCTGAATCATGAATCCATGGATTCTAACCTTCCACATACTAAGAAATACATGTCATTGAAACACATGGCTTTGAGGAAGATTGACTATGATGGTTGAACCTCTCTTATTTGAATCTCAAAAACTCTTGATAATCTTCATTAGAAAACTTCTAGTCTGATTTTTTAGATTTAGAAACATACTTTGTCAAGAAAACAAGGGAGAAAACCCTAAGCAAGAGGAAGAACCATGGGACCTAATCCCCAAAAATTTCAAAATAAAGAAATAAGGGCTTTGATGAGAGATGAAATCAAGAGGTGCTGACGAGATGAACAATGATTAGACTTCATTTCGACCACTGGAAGACGGCATGTGACGCCTACACGCCAGCAACAATCTGCACTTAGAACGACATACGGAGGACTAGCTAGCGATGCACTTGGCAGTGATGGTCACACTCCTCGAGATTACATTGGTTGACTACAACGACAACGATGTATGGCACTAGAGATAGTGAACGACAACACTAACTGACTGGAGATGACAGAAATAAAGTAAGCCAGTGTGAGATCTCACCTGTTTTGATACCAACTTGAGAAAAATATTTAAGGCTCAAATACAATATCAAATGACATTGGTACTATTATATTTATAGATGAGAGATAATACAAAGAGATTGGGTCTCAATCCAAACCCAAACCTAAGAATATATATAGAAAAAAGGACTAAAAATAATAGTATATCTCAACAACAAAATTAAAGAAACACATGCAAGGTCTCAATACAAGAAGTTACAAAAAATTAAAATGGAAAAATTACAATTAAAATTATAAATTTATTATTGACCCCTTCATGCACTAATCATTTACCAATAAAACATTCCTTTGACCTACCTCCCTATTTGAGGCTTATCTCACAGAAGATGGAAACAAACCATGGATCTAGAAATGGAGAAATTAAGAAAAAACAACACTTGGTAGTTAGTCACCCTACCAACTAGAATGAAATTAGTAGACTATTGTTGAAATTATTAATTAGTTGTACTTATATCTGTACCTATGTTCCTAGCTTAGACTTTTGCCCCTTGACCTTCCATCTACTCAGTGTATATGTTCTTATCATTATAAATAAGATATCATGTTAGACATGTAATTAAACCCTCTAAAATGTATTTTCTCTTTTATCACCACTGTCGCCCGCCAGATTTGGACCACGTATCCAAGAGACAGGCAACCCCGCCAATCTCCGACAGTGATTCTCGACGAAGCGTCCTCATGCGCCCATCATCCTTTTCGCAGGGTCCACGGGTTGCTCTCCTCTCATTGAATCTAGTCTACATGTCTTTGTCACTCTCGCCAGACCTCCCTGGCCCTGTTCCAATCACAGGGTCCCTCTTTCCACCTTGAAGATTTGTTTGTAGGTTTCCTAAGTTAAACCTAAAATTGCAAGTTAATATTACGAAAAATGTTCTTTGTACCCGTTTATCCTTCTCAGAAACTCCTTTAATTACCTCTGAAAAATTGAATGAAAAAAATTATCTCTCTTGATATGCCTCAGTTGAGCTAAGGTTCCATGGCCAAGGTCTCCATGATGGGAGTAAGGTACCAGAAGATAAAGCTGAAAAATGGAAATAGATTGATTTTCGCAAATGATATTCAGTGTCTCTATGATTTTGGCAATAGGCTTGCCTCTCTTAAACAATCAAATCATGATATGATGACTTTCATGAGTGAAGCTCAATCTAATGTTGTAGAACTAAAGATGTTCTTGGAGGATGAGTCTTTAGAAGAAACAAGATAAATTCTATATGGTTATGATCCTTCATGCCAAACATGCAGATTTTGAACATGCCAGAGATAAACTATTAACATGTCATGAAATCCCATCTATGGAAAGTTTGACTACAAGACTTCTTTGGGTTCATACAAGTCAAAACAAGAACCTCCAAGAGGCTATGAAATCTTCTGCCATGATTTCTAT